GAAGAGCACCGCACTGCCCCCTAGAGCCGTTTATTTTTCACGTTTTTGGCAAGAAGAATAGCCACATATGGAACATCAACATAAACCGCACTGGTGTACTTACAGACGGAATGTTGGGCTCTCTTGATTCTATGTATTCTTATTCCATTCAGAGATTTTGCAACACAAACACCTAATTTTACGTTTGCTTTAACAACTACAGTTGAACACAATGTTTTACTTTTTATTTTCTGCCTGCTACAATTTTACGGCAGGTTATTAAGCGAAATACAACCACAACGTTGCTGAGATATTTGCAAAACTCCAGACCACAGGTGCCTGCGGTGGGGAACGAACGCGCTATTACCCTTTCATGGGATAATGAGTGCCATCAGTGCCATCAGTGTCATCGGCAATCACCCGTCAACGGGATTGATATGGTGATTGCTGATGGTACTGGTCGATAGAACCAGCTGAGAGGCAGGCGAAACGATGGACCCGCATGGCGTAGTGGCGAACGCGTTGGTCCTCGGAAAGGGTAATAGCGCGTTCGTTCCCCACCGCAGACACCTGCGTTGCGGAGTTCTGCAAATATATTAGCAACGTTACAGTTGAACAGTTTTTCACTTTTTCGTATTCTTCTTGAGCAAACGCGAGGTGTTATTTTGTTCTTTATTTACGCACAAGCTGACGTTTCAGCGGATCTAGCCCTCTTCGGAGCCTGGAAAGGCCAAGTTGATTGCAATCTACCTTGGCAAATACCTCCATAACCTAACAGAAAGAATCCTAAACCAAGATTTCAATCACATTAAACACAGAATAGCTTCTTTGCATACTCACCGCTTCCTATGAGTCTTCCACTGAGTATGTCGCGTGGAAATCAACTGTACAAAATTCATATGGAAGAGCAGTGTGTACCTCTCATCAGAATAACAGGTTTATATACTGCCTAATATCATGTGTGATAATGAGGCATTCTTCCCTGCGGTTCATTTTCGGATATCTGGAATTAATCCAGAACGTCTCGAGAGTTTTGCGCTTGTGTTCTTGATTGCTGTGCGAGGATCGTGACACGTACTTCAAAGTCCTCCCCGTTATGTCTCTGGGTCCAATGCGTTTTTCACTTTCGCACCACAAATGGACTGATACATTCAGTACCGCTCATTGTTTTGGTATTCATATGAAGGAATAAGGATTTTCACAGTCTTACAACCATCTGCAAGAAACGAAATCAAGATTTTATTAAACGGTGCTGATTTCAGCCTTTTCGTCGAAAATTGATCATTTGAAGTGTTGATGTGGTAGTTCTGCACTTGGGGGGTGGACGAATGAGCTACCGACAAATTTTCTGTGCAGGAATAAAATTCTGTCGTTTCACATACGCTGCATGAAGTTCGAGTTCTCCCATTATTGTTTATGAGCGTAAGTCCTGATTATAAACTCTTTTTAGTAACGCTTAGCGAGCTTAATCATCGCCCAACTATTAATTTACAACCATTACCATGTGCTAACTTCAAATCAGTTGAAGTTTGTATCTCACAGTAGTTCGATCCTAAAAATCGAAGAAGAACTTACAGAATCGCGAGTAATTTGTTAATTATTGTTTTGCCGACGAACTGAAAGCAAACAACCAATATATAAATATATTAACAAAGCTTCCCGTACGTCTCCTTGGAAGGTTGAACACGCTTCAGTTCAGACACGCTAATTTGCACAGAACTGGAATACCAATAAACTGTCATATTTTAACGAAAACAATTAACAACAATCTGACCGCTTTTTTATTATCGTAAATAAAAGACTATGGTGGAGTGAGAGAGATTTCCTCTTTATTTTGGCCCTCTTCTCTTCATGAAGGTGCCTTAATATGTAGATGAGCGCTAAAGGAGAATAAAGAAGCCAAATCTTCAGATATTAAGTTTAGAGAACTGTATCAAACCTTTAGGACAAATTTTCTATAGTCATGAAGTTTTTCTACAGTTTTCATATTTAATCGTTTATTAGTTTTACCTTGAGTAGAACAGCGACATTTTCTTGCATCACTGGGTGAGTATGGCTCATTCGAGAGCGATGTTCCACTGAGGAAGACCCGGCTCGATGCGCTACGAAGATGCAACCTCGAGAACATGATCACCTGTGGACCATCGACTAGGATTATGGCTCTGATGAGGCCGAAACCGTCGAAACATCAGCCATATAAACATGCTTAGCGACGTCGTGTAAGCTCAACATTTTAAACACATATCGACTAATATTTTCGTCTAATAAGTAAAAAAAATTATAAACATGTTTGGAATTCAGTGATGGACCACGATCCCATTTTGGAACTTTTATTATCCATTTTAGATGTCAAACATATTAATAGATCGTGGTCTGGTGATCACTAGGAATTGTGTAGGCGTGACCTTAAAGTCGAGGAAAGAGGACAGACAATGAAGGGATTAGAAACAAAAGTTGTTAATTACAATAGATTTAGTCCTGTAATAAAATATGTCAGCATAACAAAAGTTCTCGAAGGTTATTAAAGCATAACTGATAAACAAATTTCAATGCAAAAACAATCAACGAGGACAGAAAAGAATAAGTAACTCTTGAGGCAGTTAGTGTAAAATTCAACAATAACAGCTCTTAATTGAAGAAGTTCCTACTGAAAATAAAAACAAAACCCCAAGCGCTAGATTATCGTCTATTCCTCCTTGTTATCGTCCACCACCATAAACATCTTTTGTACCAGGATAGTGAAGAAAACTGGAAAGAAAAGCTCAGAGACTAGTGAAACCGCTGAGGAAAAGCTCATCGAATTTATAATAAAAGTGGCTCTTAAGCCATCAAGTGCACTGCACTTCAGTGAACAGCAATAAGTTGTATAATATCGCATTTTAAAAGTAGCAAAACGAAATCGTTATGATAGCCGAGAAGAACTTGAAACGCTTCCTAAAAAGGTAATACGCAGCAAATATCACAACTATCAAGAAGGTATGGCCTTCGATTCTTGCCGTAAGGCAAAACCCTCATGCGAATTAAACGACCAGTAACTGATTCAGGAGAAACATTAAGGATAGAAATATTAATCAATCTCTAAGAGATGCGCCAATCATTCTAGTTCATCAAATATCGTCAATGATGATGGAATTCACATCTTACCAACTGTAGTAAATTATACAAACCCATCATTGTGTCAAGTTGGTGGTTCTTTTTTTTCTATATAAGCTTGCTACCAATTTTCTGGTCCTGGGGTAATGGAGGGCTTCGTTTGCGCAGTGCGACGATCGAGATAGAGGCTATGTGTGTTATGCATGGTACCTTCCTACCTCTGTGCTAGGTCACCCAATGTTAAACAACTTCTAATAAAGTGCCACCAAAAATCCGTCCTATGATATCACTCAGTCGTTTTGATTGCCTGTTAACATGACAACTACTAATAGAAGTTTAAATCTTAGATTACTCACGCTTTACATGAGAACTTCACAGGATGAAAGTAAAGAATACCACAGTTCTCGACGATCATACTGTCTTTTAGAATTTATTGATCATCTCAAACACTATAAGTACGTTTCACGAAGAAGAAAAAGATTGGAAGAAAACCTACTATCACTATCGATACGCACAGCAACAAAGCCATCCATGGAAAGACTGTGTTACAACGTCTTTTTTATTTTATTTTATATGGTCCACCTTAATTCCCACGGTGTGGATTTCAACACTTCTCACATTCGATTCGTTTCCTTCGTTTCCTCACATGCATTATCCGCGAAGATCTTCCAACTTTTACGTGTGGCTCCGGCTGCTGCTTGAGGAAATCCTTTAATTTCATTTTGAGTGTCGTAAAATGCCGGTCAAGTCGATTTTCCCTGTACTCCTGAGATAGCCAGGCTGGAGAGTTCCCAATTGGATTGCAGAGAGTGATCTTTTTCTGGATAAATCCGGTATCAATTCCATAACCAAGGAGGCATGAAAGGTTTGGTTGGCCCGGAGCAGAATCGAACTAGCACCATGCTCGTGATGTTCGACTTCACTACCATTGTACAATCAGCCCCTTCTACCACAACAACAATGATTTCGTAAATACAGCTTAGCGTAACATGAAACATTTTACGAAATTTGGAAATCCTGTCCATCGTACAGGGACCTTCTACAGAAGCGTAGCGCTGAAAATCAAGTGGTAATAGCGAGCCAAAGAGTAATGAGCTGAAAAGTTGGAAAACTTGGATTAGAAGGATGAAAAAAAGAATCACCTCAAAGGAATGCTCTACGCGCTCATTTTCTACTAAACCAATGTTAGGCTTCTCCTATACCTCTGAAGGAAGCCAAAAAGGAGGGTTTCTTAACATGATGACGACAACAAAGGTAATATTCTCAATGTGTGCAGGGCTGCAGGAATTGGTAGGACGAGACTGGAGAGGCATGAAGGGTGCGAACTTTTCCTACATAGTGAATTTCGTATTTCCTACAGAATTTAGTCATCAATTCCAGAATAATTAGTCTAAAAAATAGTTCATGGAGGCAACTATAGTAAAGACCAATCGCTGTCTTCGAAAGTCAACTATTCATTAACGTTGCCTTTCTTGTTCAGACGCGTAGAGCTAAGCAGTCATAATAGCATACCATTTAGAGCTCGAAAAAGGAAAGTTGTTCGACTGTTCAATAGACCAGTAAGATAAGTTTAGATGACCGAAGACGACAAAAATCAGTGGAACCGATCAACCACAATGGGCCTTTCGACTACCTGACGCGAACCGCTATAGCTACAGCCATACCTGGCATTTTCTCGTTGAACCACAGCTTTTCTGGCCACGGCCAGTTGCATTTACGTAACTCACATAAGTCATCTATTTCATGGAGTACAACGTGGAATGAAGTAAACAATGGAAAATGAGCCTTAACCAGCGTAAGAACCAAAGTGGATCCAAACTAGAACCTACATGAATACGCTCAATTTCAAGCAATGTAAGAGACGAATCTGGTAGACTTTTGGATGTTGAGATAAAGAAGGTAAGCAAAAAGAGCTCTTATAAACAAAATTACCCACTGAGACAGATTTCACTAAACTGACCAGAAAGTTGTTCGACGAATTTCGGCTTATTTTTCCACGCGACAAATATCAGATATACTGGTACTGAAGACAGTAGAATCATGATACCAATTGCTGAAATGACGGTTGTAATTCAGAAGAGTAATGAGAAGCAATTCAAGACATTATAGAGAAAAAGCAGCTCAAAAAACCATAAAGAGAATATTTTGGGTTCTAAACTTCCTGTACACTTATGAGTATGATCCAAGTCAATCTTCATGTTGTTGTCATTACTTACTTACTTACTAACTTATTTGATGCTTGAACGAACCATCCTCACTGATTGTGCGGGATCCAGCATAATCTCCATTTTTCGGAGATCTGCTGATTAAGCCATTGTGGTTCTCTGAAATCCCGAGGTCAGTCTGGCCAAAGTTTGCCCCAGGTCTTCACCACCACAGGCAGTCGTAGCCCTTGTGGATCAGAGGGAGATTTACCACCATGCGATTTTCATAGCACGACGGTGGTGGATCCTGATATTGGCATACTCTTGGTTGAGTTTCCTCATGGAAACGCTGGAATCCTTCTCAGCTTGGAAGACCTTGCCGGGTGGATGAATCGCCCTGCTATACATCGCAGCCCGACGCTCAGTAGCACCTCCCGTTCATGATGAGGCCGTAATCCGTTAAAAGACCATATTTTAAATTTATTTATTTGTTTTATTCAGTACTTTACATTACTATATACCACACATTTTATTTCGATTCATTTAACATTTTTAAACATTGATGTTTTGAAAAATATTGAAATTGGTTAGTACTGTAAATTACATTATATTATAGAACACTAAAAATAACAAATAACAATGTGATAGTTAAATAAATACAGTAATGTAATAATGTGAAATTTAATACAAATAGTACAATAATCTAATATGAGAATATTTTAAAATACCATTTAATATTGAAAAGTTTTTAGAAGTTTAGAAGAAAAGCGCTCAATAGTTTTCTTATAAGGGATAATTAGTGGAATACCTTCTAGAGTACCGCTGAAGTTAAAAAATATAGTATTATTTATAAAGATAAAGACTTACCGGTGTCTTTAGGTGCAGCCATAATCGGAACTACTACCAGGGCTATGCAACCCGACAGAAAAATAGCTGGCCATATTAAAGAGACCTTAAGTTTAACATGATGACTGAATGAATCAAATAGAAGAACTAGAAAATACCAAAAAAAAACCGAAAGGTACGGACAGACAGATGGACGGAAAGAAAAGGAGAGGGTTATTAGAAACGAAATAAGGAGAGGGAGAGAGAGAGGATGCCTGCCAAACTTGAATTACTAACGACGTTTTTTTCGTCACGACAGCTGTCCTTAACCGATGCAAAAACATACCTTGATAGGTCGAGGAGCATCAGGCATAGATTTCCTCAGGTAAAACAATGCAGCAATGGCTGCTGCGATCGCAAGCCAGTAAGTAATTTGAATGTAGTTGATCAACGAATAGACATTTTTTGATAAAATCAAATACGCTATTGCAAGAGCACCCTGAAAATAGTCGGATACAGATCGCAATCCAGAGATAAAGATACAGTGGAGTTCTTGTTTAGATATTTGCTTCTACTCGTAAACAATTACAATTTGAATCAGAAAACTGTTGTTACCACACGCCATCAAACCGCCTACCATACCGTTCCTTAACGTTTAAAAACGGTGCGTAACACACCACTGTAAGTCGGTCCAGTGTGGAAAAACTGATAACTGGCTAATCGCGGGTCAAAGCCCATTTAAGGTTCCGATATTCTACCCATACCTTACATCCTTGTGATTGTACTTCACATAGCACTCTGCGATGAAAAGGAGAATAGACACTAAATAGTAAGTTAAACATTGTTTTAAGTTCGTTTATTGGTGCGTTCTTTTTTTCAAGGAGGATACGATGTGTAACACAAGTACAAGGATCCCGAGATATAAACAAAACTGTAGTCCTCAGGTAATTGTAGGTGAGGAGCCCATCTGAAGTTACGAGTTGTGTTCATATCTCAGCGTCATTACAGCATCGTTGTTATACTACTTTTTCAAGCGCTTATGACGTCAATTTTAAAAAACAATAAATTAGCGCAGAGTTCCAGCCTCCGTGTTTACCTTGGGTTTACAACAGAGCGGACTAGTTATAAGGGAAGGGAACAGTACAAATCTAATTTTCCAACCGTCACAATAACTGCTGGAATGGGTGTTCTTGTGTTCTTATTGATCATCGTCAGCACTAAAGGCATCTGACCTTCTCGAGCTCCTACGTAGAACAATCTGTAAGGACAATCAATCATCATAGATAAAAAACAGTGATAAGTAAAGAGGGAAAGCAGAAATCTGGGTAGCTGCTATAGTACTGAAAACATTGACATAAGTAACACAAATTCGACAAAACTAGTCGGCAGTGCTTCTTCATTTTGTGTTTATCCTTCCCTTCAAGTGTTTTATAACTTGTTTTGGTTTGCTTTGCTATCTTTATTTACTCAAGGTGGTGTCAGCGAAGTGTCCATTGGTCGTAGTCCTGTGTCAGAGATGTTTATTGGGCAGTTAGGCAGTTATTGCTGTAACGATACGAATACTGGAGAACTTTTTGTTCAAGACTTTCATTTCATTATGAAGAAGTCAAACCGTCAGTCAATGTCCTTCCAGAGTGGAGTATGAAATCTTGAAGAAATTCATCTTGTGAAGTTCTTGCAAAGTTTATAAAAGATCAATTTTTACTAAGCAAGAATGTGCCGAGCTACCGTCGTAATAGGACCGAAAGTCTTCTCTTGCGACATTTCAGAAAGTTTTTTCACCGTCTGGGTATTCCCGATCACATTAAATATAAAATAAAGCTCTGCTTTTTTGTTGCTATAGGGTCGAGTCAATCGCGACAATTTAGTCTGTACTGTTAGTTGTCCAAAGCAGTAGACATTCATAGTCAAACTCATGATAATGACTCCAGCTTCAAATATTCTGTTAGTGTCGACTATTCTGAGCATCAGTTCTTGTCCTCTCGTCTTATAATGACGACGTAATTGACCTTCTCAGCCTTCGACACCTGTTAGTCAGTTGAATCTTGCTGTGTTGGCGTGCATTCGTTCCAAGCAAAGATCATCACCACATTTTCAGATTTTGGCAGACTTTAGCGGTTTGTCCGTTGGTGGTCACAACAAAGACTGCCCTGTCGGAGGTTGTATCCACATAGAAATATAGCTTGACGTACAACCGTTGACACACTTTAGAAATAATTAACGGCTTTGTTAGAATGCGTCGTTTTCTTGCTCAGCAATCGCGAGGTTTTTAAACAGTTCTTCATAGCCTGGAAGGATATACTGATATACAATCTATTAGGCCAAACGCTTCAATAACACAAAAAGACGAAAAACTCTATGGTAACTACATATCCTTGCACAGGAGACTAAAACACCAGCGCGAAAACTTCTTGAGGCTTTTTGGATAAATGCTAAAAACCCTAAAATGAATAGCAGGGACGAATGTCCGGAGGTCATACGCGACCTGATCCCGTACGTTCGTATCGATTTCTGATGTGGGATGGTGCAGTCGTCAACCACATGCGACTATAATCAGCTGTTCTAAACTTCCTCATTGGAAGTCACGAAAAAGTGGTGGGTTTTTTCAAGTTGTTGGTTATGTAATTACCGGAGAGTTCTTCGTCTTTTTGTAAGTGTTATTGAAGCGTTTGGCCTAGTAGATTGTATATCAGCATACCCTTCCAGGCTCTGAAGAAGGCGATACTGCCGAAACGTCAGCTGGCGTTGTATTGTATTGTGTCTTTTTATGGAAGTAAATGTATGCTGTTTAAAGACGTCACGATTGCAGAACAAGAAAACGACGCATTCATATTCCAATGCCGAGGTTAATAGAAAGTCGATCCCGGGAACTACTACAAGATGTACCAGAAAAATACTTTCGACTTGTGAAGGAAGCATTGTCACTAAGACAAAAGATCGTCTTAGCTAGACAGCAAATCAACTTCCTCCGCCGCTGCTTTCAACATCGAGTCGTGCCGAAGTTTATAAAACGAAAGCGACTTCACGAGATATGCGGTCAACCAGAGGGCAGCCAACAAGTACGAAACATCGAAATGGAACTACTTCGAGCTGCACTACGAAGCAAGCAGAACGAGATGTTTGCCAGAATGAAGAAGTGTGCAACGATGGAACATTTTTGTGCTTTGTATTTGAAGGATCGCCTTTGGAGGAGGATAGTTGGTGGGTCAATATTGATATGCGATCTTATTAGATCTAGTGCCAAAATAACTTTACAACGGAAATTCGAAAGCCTGTTGGGTAATTCACACGTCTTAGCTTCAAGAAACAACCGCAAACGAATTCCTTACGCTTCTGATAATAGCCAAAATGGGGTTGATAATGCACCAAGAAAATCTAGGGTCACCGTGATTGGGGGCATAACAATACCTGAGAATGCGCGCTCGCTATTAGAATTGAGCCCAAGTTTTGCACCATCACAGCCCATTTCTAAAACGACCCTGCGTAGGATAGCCTGCAACCTTTATGAGCTTCAAGATCGACTCCGCTATCAGGCCAAACAAGAAACATCAAATAGAGATAAAAATCAAGAGGCGGCTACACTACTACCATCTCCTTTCCCTAAAACGTTTTTTAGATAGCAGTACTTTAGCGATGGAGTAGACATAAAATTCCGCGCGTTTTCGGACGTCGTTCTCAAGAACCTTGATCACTACCGCAATAGAAAGTTTATCTCTAACCTTACAGCCGCACAAAAATGTGGCAAGTGGGAAATTAGAGAATTAATAAACTCGATAACAATAAGATTGTCTGTTAGTGATGAGGGGAGAGGGTTCGTAAATATTCCTCGCCAGTCGGATGTTGAGATAACAGAGGAACATCTTAGTGATGCTACTCTCTATCGCCCATCCTCTGAAAAGGAATATAAAAGTCAAT